TTATTATATAGCTCTGGTGGCATATTGCCTAAGGCATTTGAGTCCAAACCAGTAGGTTGGTGGTGCTAACCCACCAGTCACTCCATGGGAGGGAGATGAGGCAATCTACTTTTGTAAAGATTTACCACCTCAGAAACCCAATGGGGGTCACTATAAGTTTGAATATACTTGATGGCAGTAAGTTTGTTGTGTTTTTTTATGTAATATATATTATATATTTATTTTGTTGGAAGGAAATTGGGCAATCTACTTCCGTAGCAATACCGCCTTGGAAACCCAAGGAGGGGTCGCTATGAGTCCAGTCTGACTTGATGGTAAATAACAACAACAACTACATTTATTTTATATATCAATATGTTGTTGTTGTGTATCATTGAGTCAATTCTGACTCATAATGACCCTCTGCAGAAGGGAGATGAGGCAGTCTACTTCCATTAAGATTTAATGCCTCAGGAATCCAAAGGGGTGTCTATGAGCTGGAATCGACTCGATGACAGTGAGGTTTCTTTTTTTTTTTTTTTTTTTAATAGGGAAGAGGAGAATTGCCCCACAGAGTTTTTTAGGCTAGAATCTTTATATCAAATTTTCAGATCTTTTCTCCCATGGAGTGTCTGGTAGGTTCAAACCACCAGCCTTTGGGTGGGTTAGCACTTAACCATTGCACCACCAGAGGTCCTATATAAATATATAATACATATTATATTTTATATATTAGAAAATATATGTTGTTGTTGTTGTTGTTATGTGCCATCGAGTTGGACGTGACTCACAGTAACCCCTCCTTGGGTTTCTGAGGCAGTATCACTACAGAAGTAGATTGCCCCATCTTCCTTCTGAGGAGTGGCTGGGTTTGAACCACCAGCCTTCTGGTTAGCAGTCAAGTGCCTTAGCCATTAGGCTACCAGAGCTCCTAGACAATATATAGATATATATTATTAGATTAGATATATTCAGCAGATATATTCATATTATGAGGAAACAAAGTCTTGCTAGGTAAAAAAATTCTAGACCATTTTTCTAAGTTGGAAAAGACTGAAGGAATATCATTCATTTCCTTTGTTGGACCAGATTACATCCTGGAGACACTGATGGACAGACCACTCCAGCTTAATGGAAGTGGTTTCAGCGGGTGAGGGAAACTTGGTAAGTCCCTTATATAAATTACAGTTCAAGCCAGACAGCTTGATTGAACTGATTATTGATACAGGTTGTATCAATAAGTTGATACTGTACTGCTAAATGAAGCATTCTGTTATGGGTGGGGTTGGGCAAGGTGGAGAACTAACTTTTTTTTTTTGTTTGTTGTTTGTTTTAATTAATTAATTAATTATTTTTTATTTGGGTGAAGATTTACAGAGCAAATTCACTTTCCATACAGCAGTTCACATATACTTTGTCTCAT